TAATAATAATAATAATAATAAATAATAATAATAATAATAATAATAATAATAATAATTATAATAATTATAATAATAATAGTAATAATAACAATAATAATAGTGATAGTAATAATAATAACAATAACAAGTATAAATTAATCATTCGAACTTTCTAAATAATTGGAAAAAGGATGATATAAAGCAAAGTGGAAAATATGTATGTTTTGTGTTCTTGAAGAGAATGGTGAATAATTATAACATAATTGGATGATCAGTTAGGAAATCATACTTTCATCAGTAAATAAATCAGTCCATTAAAATATTCTTATCACGATAGAATTAAATGCAACGAAAATGAAAACAGTTCGCCATAGTTCAACAAATGACAGTTGTTGGTGTAAATTTTTTTTTCATCAAGTTAAAAAAATTAAAAAGGAAGCGAAAGGCTTGGTTAAATGAAATATTATTGGAATAAATTTAACGAGAAAAATTACCCTAAGTATTCAAATTACTTGTATTTTACTTAAAATGAAATAATATAATATTTTTTTGAAACGTAAATTTAACAATTTACAAAATTAACTGAGGTATTTCAAAAAAAAATTTGAACTTAACATATTTGTTTTTATCTTCCTATCTTTTTTCTTTTCTTTTTGTTATTAAATGATTAAAATTTTGCAGTAAAATGCTACACAAATGAGTCATTTGCACTCAAATGGAAGATTACTTCTGAGGAAAAAGAGGAAATTTGAAAATAGCAAGATTAAAAAGCATTTTCCACAATATGGTCAAAAATTTTCTTAAGGTTACAGATAGAGGCGGTTTTAGAAAGTGAGAGAGAGAGGAGCTTCAAATGTCTCGAAAACAGTTGTTTCTGATAAATTTCCCATAAATTATTTCCTCAAGAAATTATTTGAAAAAAAAAGGGAGCATAAAGAAGAAAGGAAAGTTGAAATCAATGCTTATTTAGTATAATCGTTTATTTTAAGGTAATTTCTTTATAAATTTCTTCTTTTCACTCCCGGAACTTGATTTAAACCTATATCTTTATGAAGTAAAAAAAAAGTCAACGGGGATGAAAAAAAAAGTATTTAGGATACGGATATATTTGAGTGTTAACGACGAAAGACTTAAAAATGAAATTTTACTTTTTAGTGCTTTACAATGTTTATTATTTTTATTTTTTTTACATTTTTTTATTTTTGTTTTTTTACACTTTTTTTCTATTTTTTTTCATTATTTTTATTTTTTTAGTAACAATTCTGGTACATTATTAAATTTAAATAATTTCCGATTAAGGTTTTTATATTTAAATATTTGTTTTCATGTCCAGTTTTTATATTTTCATATTCAAATATTTATGCTAACGACAAAATGAATTAATTAATTAATGAAATTTAAT